GGCTCCTACAAACTTTTTGTTTGCTGCTGTGAAATAGTTGTCTACAGATACAGATAATTGATTTATCTCCTGGTAACTGCAGAAACTATTGCATAAAACATCAGCTGACAACTTTTTGCAGAGTTTCATGATAAAATATAAAGTATCATACACTCTTCGTATATATGTGTGTGTGTGTGTGTGTGTGTGTGTGTGTGTGTGTGTGTGCATGTACGTTTGTGCGTATATTGTCTGTACTCATGCATTTATTTATTTATTTATTTATTTGGTACCAGGAATCAAACTCGTGACCTTGCCCTTGCCATCCAAGAGTGTACCGCTGAGCTATGTCCTGGTCTCTGAGGTCAGGTATGTAGTTTATCTCCATAGATTCCAGCACTATACATAAGTATCAATTAGAGTGATATTTGAATCAGTTAATGTTTAAATTGTATATGAGCAATGCCTGAAGTTACAGTGTAACCTATCAACCTTTTTGGTTTCCTAAATTTTTCTGTGTGTAAGTCTTGTGAGTGTAAGGCTTGTTTCAGTAATAAGATACAAGAGCCACTTGACAGGGCACCAACTATTTTTTTATTTACAAAACTATAGAGTGAAAGTGTGATGGACGGGGTTGAATTTCATCTCACCACTTGCTTATTGTCTGAATGCCCCACGTTACTCATTTAAGCCTTACGTTAGTCATTCATTTTCCTTATTTTCCTCACTGATCCCTGAGTTTACCAGTAACTATGTCACAGGAGAAAAAGTATCGCCCAATTTGAGCACCTTTTTTTTTTTATTTTCCATGTCAGACAGAGCATGACGCATGCCTACCCCAAGACCCAACGTGGAGAAGAGGGTTTAATGTATGTTCCTTGATTGATAAATGAATCTCAGCCCTTTGATAAAGCAGTATATGCACATTTACTACAGATGGATAAATCAGAAGTATTAAAGCCTCAGACAACCATGGTTTTCCTCCTTCCCAAAGCATAGTAAATTCCAATTTGAGTCTCAAAATTGTAGTCAGCACGTCTAGGAATCTGCAGCACATGTTCTGTTCTATTATTGAAGGAGACAGCTGCCTAGTCAATGTAAATTTTATGATAAAACTGTTTAATAGAATTCACAATTATGGGAGGACAAACACTCCAGACGCTAATGGAAGGTCTGAGTTTGATATGTAGAGACAAAGAAGCCTGTCAGGCTTACAGTCCTCTATTGTTGCTCAGAGAAAAGTGGGCAATAAAAGAGAGGGACTAATAATGAAAGGGAACTCCCACATGCCAACTGCCAATGTCCCTTCCAGCCAGGACAGGAAAAGCAGGCAGGAGAAGCAGCACCTGAATTTTTGGTTCAGGTAGGAAGGAAATGCTGTCTGTGTATTTTACCCTACCATACTCTGCCTCCCTGCACCTTTTGTTAGAATCCTTCCACTCTGGAAACTATCTTAATTGTTGTTATACTACAATATCCTAATTTTGCTTTTACTCCTTTGCCTAATCCATCCTTGTCTCTTTAGATATCTATTCAGCAAAACCACGAAGCCCTGTGGATATTTCAGAGCCCAGTTCTTGGGCAGTCCACTGTAATCAAGGTGCAACTTTTCAACTACTGCTATGGCATCAAATGCTGTCTCTCTAGATATAATTTCCCAGAACTTACATTAAGTCCAAACTTCTATACAGTATACTTCACAGAGCAGTCCTAGATCCACAGGAGATACCTGATAGCACGAATATGTACTGTTCCTGTGTATAACACTCATAGGTGAAATAAATCAGACTCACATGTGTGAGCATTGTGGTATGTCCATCGTGTAAGGAGCTGAAAGAGTAAATAAGATCCAACATGTTCAATAGATAGTGTGAAATGAGAAGAAACTGTTCAAAGAAAAGAAAAACTGGGATGGGGGAAAGCAGAAACAAGGAAGGAAAAAGGAAAACTAAATTATATACATATATAACTTAGTTTTATATGTGTGTGTATATATATATATATACATATATATACACACACATATATGTGTATATGAATAAACATAAGTTAATACAGTAATACTACTAATTGCTATTGTTTGATCGAAAATCTATTTTTCATGCCTATGTTTTGTAATATGAACAACTGCTTTGAAGATAACTATATGCAACGTACTAACCATTGTTAACTTTCCTACAATCTTGTTTTGAAATTTTGTACCATCACTTTATTGTTTTTTTCCTTTGAAATTAAAATAAAAGATGTTGGAAAGATACCAGAGCGTTTGAAGAATAACTCTATTAGCATGTATGTTCTATGAGGTTCTGGAAAAAGCTTGCAGAGCTACAAAGATGTTTCTTGTTTAAGCTCTTCATTGAATAAATAAAGCACTGGTACAATAAAACATTAAAAATACCTATGATCAAGTTTAATTTATAAATTAAGCACAGGAAATTAATAAGAAAAATGAGAAACTAGAAAAATAACAATATATTTTGATAAAATTTATTTAGAATTTATAAATTGGAGGCCAGGGTTTTAGCTGTGTTATGAGCACCTTCCTGGCAAGTGCAAGGTTGTGAGTTCAATACCAAAAAAAAAAAAAAAATAGAATTTATAAATTAATTATATATAAGGATTTCCATTTAATATTTTCAGACTACAGTTGACAGTGGGCAGCTTAAATTTCAGGAAGAGAAAGCACTGATCAGAGGAGACTACTGCCTGATTAATAACCATTTATTTCCACAGGAAAAATTGGATGTCATCAGAAAATCTACATGTCCAGAGCTGATTTTTCCTCTATGCGGACTCAATTAATATATTGAATATATATCATAATTAATGGTTTTGAAAGCAAGTTTTAAATTTTGAACATGATGACATAGAGAGTTGCTTTGGATACTGTTTCATTCATTACCTGGTCAGTACCTTAGTTATATACCATGTATCCAAAGCTTAATGCTTCTCAACCTGTTTTATACAGTGTTAGAGATTCACCAAGTCTCATAAATCAGCGGGTCAAGTTGTCCTTAGACTGCTAGAATCAGAACAATACTTCATTCTGTACTATGGTTTGTAAAGCAAGAAAACAGAGCTATCTGAAGAGGAGATAATGAGAACTTCTTAACCACCTGGCATTTGACCCCACTGTTAATCCTATCATTTACAAATGTAATCAGCTCAGCATTATACAAAGACAAGGATTTGACTTTGAAAAAAGTCTTCAGTGCCCCCCCCCCCGCATTAAATGGTAAAGGGTGTTTCAGGAACTTAGTGTTTAGGTGGCCAACTCTTTCACTCAGATTTCTTAATGTTTACTACTCCATTTAATTTATTGCTGCCCTCAACTGTTTCTTTTTTGTGGGAAAACTGTTGTATTTAAGTAAGACTAATGGGGTTTTCCCTTTTCTCCTGAGTAATACTTATATTCACAATGAATTGCATCAAGAAGATTTATTTTCTGAGAAATAAAAGTGATATAGTAAAAACTAAAAATATCATGAAGGAAACAGTTTTGCTTTCAATATGATATTTTAATATTTATTGACTGCAAGAGCCCTTTGAAATGACACTCTTAAGAGAAATATGTCACATTTTATAGATTTTGTTTATGGTTTTAGAAGAAGCTATTTTGTCACAGTTGGTGGCGATTTGTGTTAGTGAAAAAGGCAAAGTTTAATTTACAATATGACAACTTGCAAAAAAAAAAAAAGCCTGTAATAATGAAGATGTAAGATGTCTTGTTTATTACATTACTGAGCTATACATTGTTACCACTATTGATAAAGTGTGAAAATGATAAAATCTTGAGTAGAAGAGTAGGATCCCGATGTAGCTCTTTTTCTCAATGGCTCTTGAAAGTCAGTTATGTTACAAGAGCTTTGATTTTATATTTATCACAGCTTTGACAATAAAAGCTATTTTATTAGGATTTTTAAGATTAACCAATAATTTTCTAGTAGTATGTGTAAAATTAACCCCTTGATAATTATAGTTAAAAGAGTTTACAGAGACCTTCCCATGACCTTTGAAACACTTTCTGATCTGGTTTTCAATCGCCCACCTGACTTCTCTACCACTCTGACTCTAGCTCTGTATTACACTAACTAGCTCAGTCATATGCCTCGATGCATTGAGCGTTTTCATGCCTCAGAGCCTTTGACTGTGCTATTAAACTTAAAATAATCTCCTCTCCTTTTGTATGGCTAGCATTTTAATTTCATTATGGTCTTTGCTCTAATATCACCTTCTTTCAGAGACCTTCAGTCTCAGCTTACTTAACATAGTAGCTACTTCTCATTTCTCTGTTTTTCATTTAATGAAAATTTTTAAAAATCATGGTAAAGAGCTTTATAGCGCTATTTGCTATATAACATTATGTAACATTTTCTTTTATTGGCTGTCTTGTTCTTCACAACGAAAGTCCACAGAACTAGAGATGTGGCCCAGTGTGCTGACCCCTCCCACTATCGGAGCATCTGGGACATAACTGGTGTTCAGTAAACATTTTCATGAGGGATGAGTAAGAGATCTTTCATTTAGCCTTTACCCTGTATGAAGCAGTTTTCAGAGTGCTTTATACAGACTGCTCAAATTCCTTATTAGAATAAGTCTACAGCTAGTTTCTAAGGCTCCAACCCAGAGCCTCAAGATGCTAGCAAGTGTTCTACAACTGGCACAATCCCCTCCCACTAATACTGTTTCCCAAATGAAGAAGACAGAAAGTTAGTCTGGCAAATTTTGAAAACTGAGCTGCTTGATTCCAAAACCTATGCTTTAATTACTGCTACAAAGCCTCCTATCTGGCCATTTTTATAGAAATTGATGTTTGACTACATTTTTATAATATGAACAGAACTATCCAAAGCACACTGATATAGCTAAATTTATTGCCAAAAAATTACTTTGTTCAGCGGCTACAAAAGTAAACCAACACATCAAATCTGAAAAATCAGCATTTAAAAAGTTCCTCTGGGTTGAGAGGAACCCAGAGCTAGGTAACCTTTGTTTTCATGAGTGATAAGAGCATGACTTACCTCCAGGTGACCAGCCATGACAGCAATGTGGAGGGCAGTGAGGCCAGTGTACCACTGTGAAGCAGAGAAGTGATCAATTCTGTGCTGTCCTATCAGGAAACACATTTTCAGCGGTGCTTTTCCACTAACAGTAGGTTGCAAAACCATGCAGCAGGATATATTGATTCCTGACTGTCAGCTAGTTTAGGTGCTCGGGGAAAACCTAAGTGTGACTTCTGGCAAAAAGAGCACGTTAGACAGTGGAGAGGACCTCGCAGATGGGTGAGTTGCAGAACCAAATGATGTAGCTGTGCAGAGCCCATCAGTCCTCTACCACTTGACCTTGAAAAGTACAAGGAATTTCTAACTTCGCAGAGATTCTGGCCAACTGAAGTCAATCTTACATGTAGATCAATCTAATAAATGTTTGCTCCAGCAACTAAAATTGACTAGAAAAGAGGTTAATTTATTGTTTTAAATATTAAGATGAAATGCTCCTTTTGAGAAGAGAGTATAAGCCAAGTATTGGGTAAACTGTAGCTCACCTGTCTATCCATGGTAGTTCAGGAAGGTCAGTCTTTTCATAATCTCATGGTATCTAAACATAATGCATCAAGTGTTTTTCTTAATTTGACTAATTTTAATAGGTCAGAACACTCACACTCAAGAGGTTTATGTGAGGGTAATGTATTTAAGGAAACCCCTAGATTAGAACAAAATGTTTAGCCTTCTCCGTGAAATAAGAATTCAACTGAAATCTCTTTAACGCATAGTTCATCGATCCACCAAATGCCAAAATTTAAAATATCCAGAGGAGATTCTGTCACATTTATGAGTTACATAGATTATTATTATTTGGTCTTTTGGAGTTGAGTCATTTGCCATGTATAATGAGTTACATAAGCATTATTTAAAAATATAACAGTCGATTTCCTAATGTTGCCAAAGATAAAGAGCTAGACAAGTTGTTAAATTAAAAAAAAAAAACTTAGTAAAGAGCTTTGAACAAAAAAGTTAAATTTTCACTTCACCTACCTACCCTACCACAAAAGTTGAGTAGATATTGTATTTTCAGCTTTACTCATTGGCTCTCTTGGCTTAAAACTTGTATTCTCTCCATCTTTTAAAACACACTTTTCCCCCTACTGATGACAAGTTAATATTATATTTATCTTTGCCTTTATTTTCTAAGATTTCAAAATGTTATAGATGATCACATCTCCGTAGTAATCTTTAGTCGGGTAAACTCAAGTCTCACTTTAGTCAGGTGTATACCCAGTCTCACTCAGCTGAGTTCAGCACAACCGTTATATGTTGAACCTTGCTTTTTATTTATTTTTTATCTTTTTATCGGTACCAGGAATCGAACTCACAATTGCCTGCTTGCAAGGCAGGTGCTTATGCGCTGAGCTAAATCCCCAGCCCCGAACTTTTGCTTTTCTTATACCACTCTTTATTAAGTCAGCCTTATTTCTTTCCTTCCTTTCTTACATTTTTCCTTCCTTACTTTTTCACATTTCCTTCCTTCCTTCCTTCCTTCCTTCCTTCCTTCCTTCCATTCTTCCTTCCTTCCATCCTTCCTTTTTTCCTTCCTTTCTTGTCTTCAGTTAGCAATAAATATCACCATGACTGCTTCACCCACCCAAAGTTTTATGTCTCACCATCTCCCAAAACTACCTTTTCAGATTCATATCATAAGCTCCTATTTATCAAATCCAAAGTCTTTCCTTACAATCACCATACTCCTCTCTAGAGTTGAGTCATCTCTTTCTTTTTGAAATTCATATGTCTTCACTTTCCTAAACCCATATATTTCTGATTTCCCTTTTGTACTCTCTTTTCTGCTTTCTTGTCTGTCTCTTAAAAGTGTATGCTTAGGAATTGAGTCCGAAGCCAGGCTCAACAGAGTCGTCAGTTGAAACTTCAAAACAATATAGTAATTTGATTTCATCATCTAGTTTCTCTTTGTTTTTCTCCTTTCTACAATTTGACTCCTTTTCCTTCATTAGTTAGCCATGGAAACAATCAAAGGACTAAAACAGAATGCCATCAGTATCAGAGATTAAGCAATGCCAATTTATTCAGCTAGCAATAGTCTTCTAGGGATGAATTCCTTCTTTGGAGAAAACAGATTACAGGACTTAACTCTGACTTCACCAGTAACGTTTAATTTTGAGTTCTGTGGAATACACACAGGCGTACTGACTGAGATAGATACCTTGCTAAATATGTTTCCCGCTGATACAGTGGTTAATCCAGTCAACCTTATTGACCTGTAAACCATCTAAGAAATTAGGGAAGCACATTTCTGTGTGTGTCTGGAGGGCCAGGCTGACCTGACCTTGAGGATGATCCCTGATCCCTTGCCCATTCCTTTCTGATGTCTTTCTTTCTCTCATCTTCTGGCAGTCAGAAGTTGAACCACTTTCCTCTACCATGTCCCACTACTGTGACACTTCTGCTTCCGACTCAATTAACCATGGGCTGAACCTCTACAAAAAGAGTGAATCCTTGTTCCTTTATGTCATGAATGTCAGGCAGGGAAATCTAACTAATACAGATGTGCAGGAATTTAAATACAGAAAATATTAAATGTCTTTTTAACCATTAAGTGAATTTTTTCCTAATAGGTGCTGGAAACTAAATAACAAGTGTTCTACAACTGAACTCTCAACTCTATCCCTAATCTCTTTTGCTATTGGTGTTGTTTTCAGTTTGAAACAGGCTGTCAATTAGCTTCTTGTGCTAGTCTCAAATTTGCAATCATCTTGTTTCAGCCTTCTGAGTAATGTATTATAAGCATGTGCCATCTATATTTGAGCAAATTGAGTGTTGAACAGCACAATATTAGAAGCGACAAATTGTAGAAATGGTCACAACATACAAATGTCACAAGTGGTCTATATTTTTAACATACAAAACACTCATCTAAATCAGTAGAAAGATATTCTTTCACTAAATAAGTATTTGTTAATCAATAGTCTACCTGTGACAATCAATGTTAGGACAAATTAAAATAAATTATACGTAAAAGAGGAAAAGTATGAAACATCTATTGTCCAGGTAAATGCTAATTAACACACATTCATTCTTTCAACGTGTCTCTATCTTTTATCCTACTTAGTCAACCTTTGTAGATTCAAGAAAAAGTACAAATGCTTTAGTTAAAAGTTAGAGTTATTGTTACATACTTTGGCTGAATTTCTCAATTGTGACCTTGGATTGGTATCGATTTCACATTACTGAATACTATCAACACAGAGCTATTACTTTACCAAATGGTGCTAAAAGACAGTAATAACAAAACAACCATTACAACTTATAAAATGTTGTTATGGCTCAAGTCTCACTCAGAAAGTTTTGTCTGTATCATCGTATGTAGTATTCATCAATAACCTATCAGTAAAAAGTGTTATTGTTCCTATTTTACAGACGGTGAAATTGGCTTCCAAGAATTTAAGTATGTCTCATACCTTACATAATTTGTGTTGTTCCTAGAGACACCCAGGCCTACTAGATTCCAAAACCATGTTTCTCTTCTAACTCCTTACAGAAATTTCACTGATTCTTTAATAGTCTCAAGAACGAACTCCAGATAATGTACATTTCTATATTTAAACAAGTCCCCAAACATTTCTACTTTATAAGAATATCTTGTTTTAATGGGAAAAAAATTAAAGTCAACAATATAGTCCATACCTACTGAAAAAGTCTTTTATGTAAAATACAGACATTATTAGTTGAATGATGAACATTATAAAGTTTCTATGTATTCTTGTAATTTATGATAATGGATGAATACCTAATGACACTTTAAAAAAAAAAGGTGAGCCCTTAAGACTTTCACAGGTAATATTTTTCTGGGAAAACTGGAAGGTTTTCCTCTATGCACTCTCCAGCTATCTTTACAGAATTATTATTTGGAAAGATGCATAAAAACACTCTAAAGTGTAGGATACAGAAGCCTTCTGTAACACATTCATCTATAAAATATTCATACTTTTTAAACAGAAGAACAACCGTGTATATAAGAATAAGGCTTATATAAAAAAGTAGTCTATATCCTTCTAGAAATAGCATTTATGGTAAAATAGACTGAAATGAATTGAAGTAGATAAAATTGTGTAGTGTGGATTACTTAGCTTCCTCACTGATGGGACAAATATCTGACACTGCAATGTAAAGGCAGAGAGGTTTATTTGTTTCACCGTTTCAAAAGTTTTATCCCATGACTTGCTGGCTCCAGGGCACAAGTGGCATGGTAGAAGGGGTTGGCAGAAGAAGGCTGCTCAATCCATGGCAGACAGGAAGCAGAGAAAGAAGTGGCAAGGGACAGTTAGGTATCCTCCCCTTTCATGTACCCCATGAACCACCTCCTCAAACAGGCTGATCTCCTCAGAGCACATTCAGATGTGACCGCAACAGTAGATGAATCCATGAATGAATATAGCACCCTGTGACCCCATCACCTTCCAAACACCTCACTTTTGAACACATAAGACTTTGGAGGAAACTTAGAGCTGAATCATATCATAGTCAAAACAATTTCAAACTTGTACTTACCATAAAGCTTTAACCTATGTCTAAGAGCCTGCCTCTTGTTAGCTCTGTGATGCTGTGAATAAAGCCACAGGATAGAGCCTCCATGTCAGACATCTCCGATTCCTAAGTACCATTTTAGACATTAACACAAAACAAAACCAAACAAACAAACAAAAAAACACTGTGTCAATTGTGTTTAACAGAATAAAAAATAAAGCAGGTCTTTACACTGTCTAAACATTCATTCTGTCTGGACTAGGCAAACAGAGTATGTTCTGGTGATTTCACATCATGGCAAGCACCATTTCCACTCTTCCCATTAAGACATGACTTGTATGTCCCTTCTTGAATCCCAGTGGAATATCATCAATAAAATATAGCCAAGTGGACTGTTTCTTCCAAGGCTGGGTCACAAAAACCACAGAGCTACCTTTTAGTTTGTTGAAAAACTTCCTCTTGAGACCTGAGCCGCCATGCTAGAAGCCCAGGATAAGGAAGCAGAGGATAGTGAAGAGGGTGTCTGTCATGTAAAGACTTTCCAATCGATTGGCAGAGCTAGACCCAGACT